ATATATAAAAGCAATTTCATATATTATAAAGCTTTTGAACTCTTCTGTCTGTTGCATGCATGGTGTATATTAACTCATAAAATATTAACTCATAAAATCTCAAAATGTGAAAACATCTGTAAAGCCAACTTTATTCCGCTGAGGCAGGAACAGTGCACTCTCTCTTCCCACACCTCATCTTGTGCGTATAATCTGAAGACATTAATTGAACAGAAATTACAAATTGACAATTGCTGTAAGAAGCAACCTGACCAACACAAACTTATAAGCCCTCAAAAACATTTCCTGACTCAGCACTGAGACAGACTGAATCCAGAGCTCAGCTTTTTACAGCCATTAACTCAATCTGTAACGCCCCTTCCAGCTGTACAAAAATAACTGCTGGTATTGGTAGCTGCATGCAAGGACTGCGCGTGTGTACACTAAATGTAAGCTATGAGTAAATGATCTAAGATTCAGGGTTCCCGCATGTTCATGCTCATTTCAAAACTTTCCATGCACTTCACTGTGTTTGCTGCACTTGTTGGCCTGGTTACGGTGCTTCACTACACACACGCATGCACAGGAAAGTCTCATTTCCCTTAACAAACGCCACCACACTACGTCACATATACATGTAATGTCTAAAAGCAGGCTTGGTTGGTTTAAGTCGTGGAAAATGAGAACTGTGCAGGTTTTCCATTTGTATCAAGCATAGAATAAATTGACTTTATTTGCCTTACTTGACACTGCACGACCTTCGATGCTTAAATGATATATCCTGCAGCCCTAATATTAGAGCTACATTATGTCAACGGCTAACTGACAGAAAATATATTTACATTTATGTTACATTATGTGGAAAGTTATCCCTGGAAGATTACCATAACAATTAATTCCATTACAAACAACAAATTCAATGTGTTCTCCAAAACTTTCAATGATTTTCACCAATTCCATGACTTTTCCACGCCTGGAAAATGAAATCCCATGACCGTGGGAACCCTGAAGATGACATAACAACAACCAGTTTTGATAAGCCAGCCATATTGAACCTTATACAGTGCCTTTAAGTGTTTGCCTTTTTGCCAAGAGGTAATAAACTTAAGAAAAAGAACGTTTTACATGGTCAAAATAAATGTACATTTTTAAATACTTTCCAAATGTGTCTTTTTTAATTTGTTAACTCACTCACACAGTGGAAGGAGTTTGTTATCCATACATGAAGTACAACACAACTCATTATGTTACAGAGACGTCACTATGACTGTCTTGAGTGATATTTTATTGGCAGAGGACGGCATTCTGCAGCTGTTAATGTCAGACCCTGCTGTGGATTAAACACTGTTAGCTGGCAAGAGTTTGCACGCTGCCAGACTTCATCAGCCACTGTGCTGGAGTTGCACAGGCAGGTTTGAGTATTGCTAGATGGCTTGAGTTTATGATGCACTTCAGATCTAGCGTACCTTACCTTCACTGAAACTTCTATAGAGCAGCAGAGCAGATCCCCTCCTGGATTAAACATGCCAGTACAAGCAAATGCAGTCTGCTCTCTGCACAGACCACAGCACCGCACACTTGACTGACAGGTTAAACAACAGTTTCACACCTGCCGACAGCATCCTGTCAGTCAAGGTGCAGTCAAGTATGCCCAAGCCGAGTGACACGATTACCAGGTGAATCATTTGTACACTGAGGGGAGGGAGCTTAGTGTGGAGGGTGATGTGAACATACAAACACTGCTCAGATCTGGAGTGCTGCCCTGTTATTCCTGATGGGTTTACGAACAAGAGGCAGTATGTACACGTTGTGATTGAAACAAAAATACATTTAAGATCAGCCACAAAAAGGACCTGGACATGAAATACAAAATAAATTACACATCGAACTGCAACATCCTGTAAAATCTGTTTTGTTTAAAATGAACATCCCCAGAAAATATAACAATTACATGCCAGGATGTTGGATATATATCATTCATAGAATTGGGAGTGACATTTTAAGTAACCAGACATGGTGTTGCTTGAGATCAGAACCTACAGGGTGACGCAGCTTAGATTTAGTCCACGTTGAACTTTAACAGAAGCTAATCTCCCACATCGAAGAGAAAATGGAGGCCAGTGGATGAGCAAGAAATTCATATAGACACCAAGCCTGAAATGATGGACATTAACTACAATTACACTCTTGTGAATCACCGTGATGTTGTCGAAAATGATATATTTATAAGAATTTACATAAAACACCTTGAATTTTTACAATCAGCCGGGACGAGACTGCTCCCATCCCAGTGTCTAGGTCCTCCCGAGCTTACAGTCCACAGTTAGATTCATTTGCTCCAGAGCAGGGCGATGGCTTTGCAGATGCCCACGTCGTTGTAGTTGAAGTAGCAAAGACCAGCGAAGGTGACCGTGGACAGGAGGAAGAGACCCGTGTTGGCCATCTTGATCTTTGCGTCCCCGTGAACGTAGTCTGTGAGCACTTGCCCGATACCCCTAGAGACAGAAACATGCAAACAGAAAAGGTGGACGGAGAGTTAGGAGAGGAACGGATTTTGTTCTGCCTCTGCACCAGCAATAGCCGTGGCCAGAGGCATTATGTTTTTGGGTTGTCCACCATTCCCCAAAGTCCGTCCATCTATGTATTAGTTTTTCTGATAAGGTCGGTTTTAATCAGCTACTAAATGCTATGAAACAGGGATTTTACAACATGACTGACAACTGTGTGAGCCAATCAGTTGGTCGGGCGGATGTTTGGGTGGGAACCTTGATACCGAGGCAGCTGCTACTGCGCAGTCTCTAGCTCCAAATGATGCCACCAGAGCAAGATGGCAGCTTTCATATCCTGGCTATTTTAGCTTCACTTCTACAGTGGGGTTAAGTGAAGACGCGTCATCCATCTTTATAAACAGTCTACGATATAAACACACGGGCCATATCCTACGATATATGTTGTATCATATAAGGTATTATTGTTATCGCATCAGGGTTATGTCCACTTTCATTGCTTCTGCACACTGATATATACCGTATGGCATTGTGGAATGTGTCTGACCAACCCTGGCGTTCTTTCTTTCTTTTTGAAAACCTTAATAAAAATATTTTGCAATTAAAAAAACTGTGAACTGTGCTCAAACTGTAAAACTAAGCATTGCTGATTATATTTTTCCTCCCCACTTTGTTTAACAGTTTTTTAATTTAAGAAAATGTACACAAAAGTACAGAAAAACATTTTTCACCCCCTGGGAGACAAACAGACGGTACAGTGGAGCAGTGGTTAGCATTGTCACCTCACAGCAAGAGGGTTCCTAGTTCAAACCCAGGATGGGGGAGTCCCTCTGTGTGGAGCCTGCAAGTTCTCAGAAAATGAATAGAATCTAAAATGAAACAGACAAAGTGTGTGTATATGTGCACACGTGTGCCCACGGTTTAGTTCCTCTATAGCAGATGGTGAAAACAAGCAGTGCTACAACCTCACAGCTGTTCAAGCAGATATGTAATGAAAGGTTGTCTTACACTGCTAAAACTGACCTTACAAGCTGTCAGGGTAAGCACTGAGCCCACACTGTAACTAACTGCACTCCCTGAAGAAATATTATCATATTTTTGGACAATTGAAACAGAGATTCCAGAGAGCAGCAGACAGAGGGGTCTGCAGTCTGTGTTTGAAGGATATATCCAGGATGTCAAACTGACTCAGCAGCAACAACAGGTTAAAAAGACAAAGATAGTTAGAAGCTAAAGCCGAACTATAGGCTACAGATCACAGTGTAAAAGTGAACCACCACATCCCTGCTGATCACCACACAAGACAATGAATATAAAGGGAAACTTCGCTGATATTGATTCAGCTGTGTGGCATCACAGTGTGTGCAGATGACCGGTGTTTGGCTTCACCCCCATGCTGCTGCCAGCACCTGGACCTCTGCTGCCGGAAGTCAAACAACGTTCATCTGTGCACAATGCAATGACACACAGCTGGTTGAAAATCAGCAAAGTTTCCCTGCTTCCCTTCACTGGTTCCTGTACAGCAGGGTCGGTCTTTGTTTCACTGTTACAATCATTAAAGGGCCAGTGTGTAAAATGGGTTGAAAACCGTTGAAAACAGTGACATCAGTGGTCAAATTCTAGATTGCAGGGCTCACTCGCTCACCCCTCCAGTCGGGTAAATGACGGTGGCCTCGTAGGGACAAAACGCCTTGCGCAGACACGAGTTTTTCAGGAGTAGGTCTATCTAGCGACAAGGTGAATGTTTATTAAGAAATCTAAACCATGTTACGATATTGTAATGAATCCCTCACGAGCAGGAGACCAGAGGAGCGTTCGGGAAAAAGGCCAGTTTATTTGAACACTCCAAAAACTCTGTTAACACTCCAGGGGGTAAAAGACTCTGTCCCAAACTCTGACTCTTCTAGCATAACACACACTCCAAACACACATACTCGTTTACAATACCTAGCGGGCACCCCCTCCCCTCTCTGCTCCACCAATCTCCAGCCCGCACACTGACTGACAGCGTAGCCTGTAAACAGAGCTCAGCTGTTTATTTAGCCTAGCAATATCTCCGGACTATAGTAGCTGCAATGGACGACTTTGAACGCGATTTTGAAGAGTTTCTTGTAGCGGACACAGACCCAGAGCCATACCTGTTTGAGCTGGAGCACACAGATGAGGAACTCCATGTGTTTGATGCTGAGCGGGTGAGAAGAGAGGCTGAATCCTCCGCTCCCATTTTGCTGCACAGAATGGGATTCAGTGCTACTGC